CATATGAGAGAACGCCGGGAACTTAGTGACTACTCCAGTAGGCACCAATTCCTCCTCGTCTGACAAAGCAGTCAACGTGTACACTGCACCACTATGAGTCTGAAGAGCAAGCTCGACAGATATCCCCTCGGTCATCACTTGGTGTACCTGCAGCACCTCGCACGCTCTTCGGACGTCAAAGAGCTTAACAGGACAAACTGTGGCTCCTTCGGTCTCTGTATTTGCATTGAGGGTGTCCATCGAGCAGAGCACAAGCTGATCCCGCCATCCAGTCTTACCCGCAAAGACGAGTCGGCAAGACTCGGGGCTAAAACGAACCCAGAGCAGACTCGAAAGCGTGAAAGGTTCGTCATCCAATCCAGCGTGAATCAACTTTACTGTGGTCATCGACATCAGTGTGTCAGAACGGCTTCGAGCAGCGTTTGGTGGAGGAGGTAAACCTGCTGATGAAGCACGAACATCTGTTGGTGTCAGGTAGTTCTCCACAAGAATCACATCTCCATTGGCGAGCAGCACGAGTAACGTCTCGGTCTGAGAATCAAACACAACTGAGTTGATTGCTGCATCAAACGTGGCTTGAAGCAGAGCAAACGGTGGTGGCACCATTGCACGGTGAAGTGGCGTAAGCAGCAGCTTTGATCCATCGATAACTCCCGTCATTGCCACACTCTGACGCGCTTCCTGACCCTCTCCGCGAGTCAATTGTTCGGCTTCGACACTGCAAATATCCCAAGAAAATTCGTGTTCATAGAAAGTAAGCGTCTGGCTGTGCGCTGAACAAGCAACGACGTTCAGTCGGCCAGCTACTTCTTCGTCCCAATTGAAATCAACAAGTCGATCATCAGTGCGAAGTTGGAGCTCCTGCTTCAGATACCAGTGATAATTATTCCTCGACCATAATTGAATAACGGGTGGCTGGTTGTCGTCGTCTTTACCCGTAGGATGCAAGCTCACTGCAATGGTCTCCGACGTTGTGTTCCACCTCACCCTTCCGACTCGATACTGTGGCGCACGATACACGGCAGGGATAACAAACTCGCCATGCCGCAGTCCGTTGCGCTCGAAAAAGACCACAACCAATCTCCCCTTCCTCAATTCGGTACTTGCAATCAATGCGAGACTCTGACTCCAATGCAGTGCTGAACCAAGTGCCGGGATAGCACGTCCGTCTTCCAGTCTTCCGAGTGCGTGGAACTCGAGTTGGTCCGTGAAGACCAATACCTTGTGAACTACTTCACTCTCCTCTCTATCATCGTCTCTCCTCGTCGTTGCAATATTCAACGCAACAAACTTGGTGTCTTCACGCCAACAGAGTTCGCAGCACCAACTCTCTTCGTCTTGTCTAGAGGTACTGAGCTCCAACTCCGAAGGCATAGAACTCTCGATCTCCGTCTCATGGAGCACCTCCCAGTCGTTACTCATGACCAGCAACGATCCTGCACCAGTGACAAGCGCCAACATCTCCTGGTTGCTAGTCCATGCGACTGCACGCAGTCCGCTGTCCACATTACCAACTTCTTCACCGTCTCTGGTATCTACATCCACCGAAACTAGCGCACCGCTTGTAGAAGCGCAGACTAGCGTTCCCAACTCTGCCACATAGTTCATCCACCTCCAGCAACCTGCAGATGCGTCGTCATCCTCCACGAACTCGCGTAGATCCAGGAACAACTCCAGGTCTTTAGACGGTGAGTGCGCATCTTGTTCATCGAGCTGTAGCGCCTCGATGCGACCACTAGAGCGCAGGAAAAATACCTGAGCGTCGCCAGGGATTGAAGCAAATGCAACGCACCGATTCTCAGATTGTGACGATGCCTCAAGCGCCCATACGCGGCGTTGTAGCGACACCAAGTTGCGCATCGGATTAGAATGGTGCAGTGACCACCAAAACCAACAAGCGATCTACGTAAAATACCGTATTAAAAAGTAGTAATTAAAATTAGTATTTATCAAGTACTATTTTTGAGCAATAGATCATGGAGTCCAAGACCCTGCTCAATACTCTGTCACCGCAACTACAGGCCTTGGTGGAGGCCTCCCTAGGGGCCAAGCTACCGTCACCTGCAGCCTCCGAGTCTAGCCATGATCCTTCCAAGCCTCAATCGACCAACACTGACGCAAAAACACAGTCTAATGCCTCTAGTCCGATCGTCCTGGACGCCTCTCACCATGCAGCTAAACTCAATCCGTCAGAGCTCTTTAGTGCGTTGTGTAACCATCGTCCGGTGTAAATTACTGCGCTGACTTACTCTTATGAACCTTCGCAGCATTTAAACACCCAGACTCTCCTGGCTTCGTGATAAAGGAGGCATTCTTAGGTCACCGGGAGGCCTTGGAGGTTAGAGACGCGCTGACGGAGCTAGCAACGAGCGGAACGTTCCATGACGCGAAGGTCGGCGCTGGTCAAAACTTACGCAACGACCGAGCGGTGCGAGGAGACAGAATCCACTGGATCCAGACTCCAAGCGACTTGAACGCTCCAGCACAAAGCATTCACCCCGCAATTCTGCATCTGCGTAGACAAGTGGAGTCGCTCGTGTACGGACTCAGGAAGGCCTCACCCGAGATGGATCTGCGCAATATCGTGTCGACACAATTTGCAATATTTGTACGTTGAATAGGGACTAACGCATCTGAGTTTGTGCTAATGTGGTTAACGGAATGTGCACGTAGCCAGGTGATGGTGCCCGGTTCGTCAAGCACGTGGATACCTACTCGAACGTACACAAAGATGAGCGCGGAGGAATATCCAAAGACGGTCTTGTTCGTCTCATCACGTGTGTATACTACCTGAACGATCAGTGGGAAATTGAACATGGCGGTTATCTTCGCGTTCACGTCAAGGACTCCAAGCACTTACCGGCTTGCCACTGGGACGTTCCGCCCAAACTTGATACACTAGTGCTATTTCGAAGCCGTGATGTTGAGCATGAGGTGATGCCGACGTATCGTGAGCGTAAAGCGGTGACGATTTGGTATTACGGGAAGCCGTCCAAAGCTTCTTCTGCTTTAGCAAGGACTGAGGTCTTGTCCGTACCACGACCACTCCCCTCAATTACAGGAAACGAGGCAAACCATACAACACAACCGTCAATATTCGTCGCGATCCCTAGCTACCGCGACTCGGAGTGCAGACATACAGTCGATAACTTGCTGGCTCGTGCAACATTTCCGGAACGGATTTCTATCGGCATTTGCTTACAGACGGACGAGAACGACGGCACTTCTGCGTATCTAAAGAGCAAGTATTCTACGAGCAAGGTTTGTGTGCAGTGGGTGGACTATCGACAAGCTGCAGGTCCGTGTGTGGCTCGTGCACAGGCACAGAAATTGTGGCAGGGTGAAGAGTTCTATCTCCAAATCGACAGCCACATGCGTTTCCGTCCTGGGTGGGACTGCTTTTTGATCAGTGAGCTGGGAAAGTGCCCTTCGTCGAAACCAATCTTGACGACGTATCCACTTGGCTACACATTGCCGAATGAGGTAATACCCTGTTGAAACTTTCTGAATTATTCTTTGTCTGACCAAGCTGATCATGTTGCAAGATTTCGACTGAGTGTCGCCCCACTCTTCTATGCGCTTCATCGTTCGACAGCCTTGGAATGCTTCGTCAAACCAGCAAAATACTCTCAACAAAATCGACCAAGTGAGTCAAATACATCTACTACGGCGCGGTAAAACTTCATTGCGGCTCACTGTTTGTGCGTGTTGTTTTATAGGCCGCTGCCGTCGCTTTTCTGGGCTGCTGGTTTTGCGTTTTCGTCGTCTAAAGTGATCGAGCAAGTGCCATACGATGCGACTCTACGATTTTTGTTCTTTGGAGAGGAATCCTCGATGACAGCACGACTGTGGACGTCAGGCTGGGACTTCTTCACCCCTTCTGAGACTGTGGTTTATCACCTCTGGACTCGAGCTTATCGTCCTGTTTTCCAGGAGTTGGAAAGTGGTGAAACTCAACGCTACCGCTCCGCGTCAGCTCACTACGTCAAGCAGATACTGCAAATTGACCAGACTCCTGTAAATCAAGACGATACACTTAACGTGGGTAAGTACACATTAGGAACTGAGCGAAGCTTCGAGAGCTATCAGAAGCACATTGGCGTCGATTTTTTCAGTCAAAACATCGAGTGGAGAGCTGAGTGGGGCGATCTTGATCCGATCCAGTTTGATCTGAAGGCCCATGCAGGCAAAACTCTCCCTCCAACGTAAACGCCAATTATTTGGTTGAATACAAGCACGTGGTCATCAAGTCGTTCTAAGCATTAACATGCTTGCTCTCTAAAATCCGTTCAGCTCTGCTTACTTGCCGTCCTCAATCAAACGCTTGCCCAGTTTGAAGTAGTAGTCGACCACACTCTTCAGATCGTCAAGCTTGATGAACTCGCGCGGGCAGTGAGCGTCCGTGATGCTGCCAGCGCCAACCAGGTACGCCTTACCGTCGAAGTTAAAGTAAGGAATGTCCGTGTTGAAACAGGCAACGCCAGTGTCATAACCCTCCACTGTAGTCAAGTGAACGGGGGCGTTCGAGGTGTAAAGTTTCATCTCCACACGTCCAGCCACGATTTCCTGCAGCCACAAAGATGCACGTTACTACCTGACGTTGTACAAGTTACTGTCGCTGCAGACGCTTACCTCAACGCGCTTGTAGATGACGTCGGGCTCAGTCACCAAACGGAACATAAGCATCGCCGATGACTGCTCAGCCAAAGCATTGGCTGCTTGTCCACCGTTTAGCAGACCGATGTTAAGGTCTGTGTTGCCGTAATCCTCCGTTGTTGGCCAGCTCTCCTTCTTTAAGTCGTAGAGGACATCAATCATCGGGTCGATGGCCGAGTCGCCCAAGTGCGGGTATCCTATAACATACAAGAGCGAGACGAGTTAGCAACGATGTGTTGATCCAGTGAAGCGACCAGTTCCGTACCGCTGTGTGCTGCAACTCCCTTCTGCGTGAGTTGAATTTTGAGCACTCCCTTCTGCATCTTCGACATCTTGAGAGCGGTAGGTTCGCCGACAATCATGTGAGCTGGCTTGACATTGAGCTCATTGGCCTTCTTCATTCCGCTGTGGTCGGTTTCTTCCGACACGACATAGAGAACCTGAACGTCATTGCCAAAACCAGCTTCAACAAGTTTCTGCGCTGCGATCATTTGACCAGCAATCAGACTCTTAGCATCACAGGCACCACGACCATAGAGCGTCGTGCTGTCGATGCGAGGAGGAAGGTACGGCGGAACGGTGTCCATGTGCGAGTTGAACAGAAGACGCGGAGTCTTGCTGTTGCTTCGAGTAGCATACACATTGTATCTGAATAAACAACAGTACGTTAGCGTCTACTTCTTTCCTACAATGGTAAAAGACGAACGAACCTGTCGGCTTTGACGGCAGCATCGGACTGTGGAGGGACCTTTTGCTTGTGCACAGTCCATCCACGAGTAGTGAGCCAGTCGGCAATCGCCTGACCTACAGCAGCCTCATCTCCTGAGGTCGAGACGATAGAGTTGAGACCAATCGCAAGCTTCACAACATCGTCACTGTTGACATCTGCCAGAGCAGCAGCGGCCTCGATCTGGGCCTTGTGTTCATCGGAGACAGCTGAATCATCACTCTTCGGGGTCTCCTGAACCTTCTTCGAGATCGTCTCACGCCACTTTCCATTCACTGACGTTGCCTTCACGACGCTCGACCCGTTAGCTCCAAAGATGAACGCGCCCATAAGAGACGACGGAGTCGAGAACTTGAGCTGTTCCTCTTCAATGTCGACTAGTGCAAAGTCAGCAGCATATCCCTCCTTAATTTCACCCTGTAAAGATACGTATACCGTCAATAAGCTGCCCATTCTTGACAAATAAGCTTGAACAATAGCTTACCACTTGCAGGTTCAGCGACTCGGCTCCGTTCTTGGTGCCATAACGGAACAGAAGCTTGGCCAGATCGGTCTCCGAAGTGGAGTCAGTGCAAACACCTCTCCGGCTTTGGTGCAAGCGGTGCGCGTACTCCAGCCAGCGCATCTCTTCGCACATGTCCACTCGGGCATTGCAGTCCGTACCGAGACACACACGGTCCGAGCAGCTCGCAATGAACGGGAAGCCATCTCCCAGGTTACCCTACATCAACATCAAAGTACAGTTAGAGCATAAAGACAACCAATTAAACTTCCAAATCCCACTAATCTCACCTCAGTGAGGGGGCAAATGCAGACATTTCCCTTCTTCTCCACAAACTGCTTCAATTCATCTGCCTTGGTCCACGTACAATGCACCGCTGTGAACTTCTCATCGATCTTTAGATGCTTCAACAACAGACCCATGGGCGTCTCGCCATCGTGTGCAGCCTTACAGTCATCCACTTCCTTGGTCTGCTCTTCGAGGTGGATGTGGAACACCAGACCGCGACGCACGGATTCCTCGTGCAGCTTGACAATATCGGGTACTTCCACTGCACGCATCGAGTGGGCCACCACGCCCAGTGACTGAGTGGGGTCATCAGCCAGCTTACTCAGTAGCGCATCCATCTGCTTCCAGTAGACTTCGTGCGAGTCCACCTTGAAGCGCTTCTGAGACTCTACCATTGGTGCGCGCTGGAAGCCTCCGTGTTCGTAGTACGCATTAAGTAACACGATGCGGATCCCCACGTCCCTGGCCGCACGTAGCACCGTCTCGTCGTACGCGAACTCATGTCCGTCCTTACCTTCACCTGGTCGACCATGATGGAAGTAGTGGAACTCGCCGACGCTTGTGATGCCGGCGTCGCGCATCTCGGAGAAGCACTGACGTGTCAGATCGTAGATCTGCTGCTCGCTCATGCCGCCTACGAGTTTGTACATCTCCTCGCGCCACGTCCAGAAGCTGCTCTGGGCAGAGTCCTTCGGGTACGTCTCTCCGAGGCCACGCAGGCCGCGCTGGAACGCATGCGAGTGAGCGTTCACCATACCAGGCAGTAGCGCACGACCTGGCAGCTTGTGGACGGTGGCAGAGGCGTCAGCGTCGGCTGAGCGCTCAACGGACTGGATCAAACCATCGGCGCCCACAGACACGTGCACGTCGCGCTCGAACGCCTCGCCAGTCCATGTGAGCTCAGGTGCCAGCACATATGCGGCGGAAGATTGCGGAAGCTGCATGTTGCACGAAGAGTGATGGTGGTGCGCACGCGGAATGCGGAAGACAGAGTGATTGCGGAGCTGAGGTGTCTGACAGCCACGCAAAGTGCGAATGAGCGCTCTGCGCATTGACACAAAAGCAAGAGTGTGGTGCCAGCTATAGCGGCTACTTGTTAAACTGCAACGTTGGTGCAGCGGAAACACTAACGTAATTCATGGAAATCGAAGTTGCATTCATCTTTTTAAGTAGTTAAGGAAGATGGGCAAATTACAAGAACCATTTTTATGCGGTTGTCATTTTAAAAGTGTATTGAATTATGTAAATGATTGGTCGCCCTTTTTCATTCGCTAAAATAGTATCAAAAAGCGTTGATTGGACAGATCCGCTTCAACATCCTTACAGATGGGTACATGCCCATGGTGTAGGCGATTTGATGCACATTTGCACTTTTGCCGTGTCTCCTGAAGCACTTGCTGTTCTACCGTCGACACCATGAGCTCGTTCCGACTCCGTATTGCCAACGCTCGCCAGATCGTTCAGGTCTGCGCGAATGGTGAGCCGTTCAAGGCCGGCGCGGCCCAGAAGGAGCTGGCTGTGCTCGAGAACGCGTCGCTTGTCGTGGACCAGGCTGGCAAGATCGCGTCCGTTGGCACTGCCGCTGACGTGGAGAAGTGGCTGAGCACTCAGCCGCAGCCTGTGAGCTTCGAGAGGGACGTGGACGCCCGTGATATGGTGGTTCTGCCTGGCTTCGTTGACGCGCATACGCACCCGGTATGGAGCGGCAACCGTGTCAACGAGTTCGCCATGAAGCTGGCTGGCGCTACCTACATGGAAGTGCACGAGAGCGGCGGCGGCATTAACAACACTGTGCGCCACACCAAGAAGAGCTCGGAAGCTGAGCTATTGGAACTGCTGCGTGCGCGACTAGATCGTATGCTGCGCTCTGGTACGACGCTTATCGAAGCCAAGAGCGGCTACGGACTCGAGACCGATACGGAGCTCAAGATGCTTCGTGTGCTGCACACCGCGTCGACAGGTGACAACGCACACCCTGTGGAAATCGTGTCGAACTACCTGGGTGGCCACTCGGTTCCTGACGGTATGACTGCTGAGGAGGCTACGGAGGATATCGTGACCAAGCAGATTCCTGCTCTTGTGCAAGCCAAGAAGAACGGTACCATCTCGCCTGAATTCATCGACGTGTTCTGTGAGAAGGGCGTCTTCGAGCACGACGACTCTCATCGTATTCTGGAGGCTGGCAAGAAGGCTGGGCTGGAGATTAATTTCCACGGTGATGAGATGTACCCCATGCAGTCTGGTACTATGGCCGCTTCTCTTGGTGCACGTGCGATCTCGCACTGTGAAATGCTGACTGCTGAGGACCTTCAGGCTATGGCTGCCCACAAGCCAGAGCCTGTGTTCGCCGTGCTGTTGCCTACTACCAAGTACATCCTGAAGCTGCCCAACCCTCCAGCGCGCGACATGATTGCTGCTGGTGTCCCTGTTGCCCTCGGTAGTGACTACAACCCGAACGCTCACTGCCTTTCCATGGCTCTGACCATGAACATGGCATGTGTGCAGTTCGGTATGACCATGAAGGAGGCTCTTGTAGGTGCCACTATTAACGCCGCTGCCTCTATCAACCGCTCTGCTACTCACGGCAGTCTGGAGGTTGGCAAGCAGGGCGACTTGGTACTGATGCGTGCGACGCAGTGGGAGCAGATCATCTACGAAATGGGAGACCCTCCTATTGAGCACGTGGTGAAGAAAGGAATTATCTGCACCAAGTAAGGTTAGTTGTCTCCTAGTTCTGGTGCATACACAGAAAGTAGATGAGCTTGCAATTTTGCCTAAACAAAGATACCAATCATTAGAAAATAAAAAAGCAAAACAAACCATATTGATTGACTCAGTCTGTCAGAGAGCAACAAGCTTCACTCGGTACGCTTTAGAGAATATCGTAGGGGGTAGTACCTCCCTACTGTGTGGGTGGCTGGTACGTGTTCTTCTCATTCCACTCGTCCATCTTCTTCTCGATGAAGGCGATGACCTTCGGGTCCGGCACAATAAATAGGTGTGTATCGTCCAGATCTTCAATCACAAACCGTTGCTATCAGGCACACCGTAAAAGAACTCCGTTACATACGAACTGTAGGCCAATAACCAGCTAAATTGCCAACCTGGACTGCCGTCTCGTTGAGATGCAGCAAATACTGCTTTGTTGCCGGATCGCTGCCAAGAACGTGCATTATATCGTTAGCTATAGGAGGTGTGGTTAGTGGTGGGATAAAGGTAACCACAGACTAAGGTATCTGCTGGAGATCACTCGTCCGTAGTGGAATATGCTACGTACCATTTGACCAGCACTCCCTTGTTTGCGGTTGGCATCGTGCTTTGGGGAATGCGAAAAATAAACTTAAAACTTATTAATGTGGTGCACACGATATAGTATTTATCATTTAGTTACGTTGATTTGCCTGTTCGCAGACGAATTTGAATAAACTCTCTGCAACCGCATCGTTACGAAAGTCGACGTAAGCAAACCGTAAGTATCCAGACAACGCGTTC